AACAAAAAAAAAAAAATAAAAGGGCGAAAAAAAATAAAAAAAATACAGGGGACAAACGAATAAAAAAAAATACAGGGGCGAACCGAATAAAAAAAAATACAGGGGCGTACCGATTAAAAACAAAAAAAAAAGGCGCAAATTGAATGAAGAAGAAAGAACTTCATTTTGATACATCCGTTGATCTGCAACATTCACGGGCCGGGTCATGGGTTGGTCACCCCCTTTCATTAATCGAATAATAGAGCACGTTTAACAACAAAATAAGATAACCTGTTTGCCATGCCAACAGTTGCCATGCTAATATCTGTAAGCGCTTCAGTGAGTGAGGATCTTCCACTCACATGGCTGCCACGCGGCTCGCATACCTCAAGGGACTGCCCTGCAGTACTCCTAACCGGAAATATTACAGGAGCGCTGTTCACATGCGGTCATGCAGCACTCGAATGATTAATGATTTCGTTTAATATGATTTTTTCCCCCCAAAAAAAAATCATTCCCCACATGAAAATTACTGACTAGTATTTAGGTTGTGGGGAATTTTTTATCATCCGTTCACCGATGATATTACGTCAGTGGGGGTTGGGGGGGGGTGGAAGAAATTATGATTGATTTGTCCTAGTATATGTTGAGTGCTTATAAATAAGTATGACAGTGTTTTTTTTTATGTTACCGTGAGTTCGAGGTCCGGGGCAGATTGACCTGTCGAACAATCAGCCAACTTCTGCTAGGCGTGACAAAGCTTACATGTAATAAAAAAAACAACGTAAATTTGTTTATTCTTGTTCCAATCAAATACAAATATTTCTTAACATTTCTTTTACATTTGGAATAGACGGCACACAAAAGTCAGGGCAACAAGACGAGAATGATCAGTGTAGGTGGTTATCCTTGTCGCCCCGTTCCCAGAAGTTCCTGATGAATAGAGCATTGGTCGACAGCACCCGGGCAGAGGCCACAAGACGCTCGACAGTTCAGTTGCATAAACCACTTGAAAACTATGTCCTCACACAGCCCGCCCGCGGCCATTGTGGCGCAGCCCACCTGATAGTCCATGCAGACACCTTTCCCCTTGCCGCAAAACTCGCACGTTGCAGCGCACTTGTCCATCATCATCTCCAAGTGGGTCATGCACTGGCCGGCAGCTTTCATCGACCTGCAGTCCTCCCGTATGTCCTGGCATGGTATTAGTTTTTCCGGGGGTAGAGCTGGTCGGGGACTTGGGGTCACCGGCGATCCATCAACCGTGTCGCACGGGATGAGCGGGTCGTGCACGTCACTGGAGTCGCACCAACACTGACATCGTGGCCGACCTTTGAACTCCCTATAAAATAGAAAACCATCGCGGGGACACTCGCGCTGAACACACCCCATGAATACAGCACAGCTGTACATAACGTTGGCAAGTTTGATGTCCTTGAAAGAGAATCCGTGCCGCTGACCAATTCGATGTTGATATTCAGGATCTAAAGTGGTCATGGAACCCGGATAGGAATCACTGCCGTAGTGCATAATGCTCAGGTAGTCGTAGGGAACGCCAAACGTGTTGATTGAGCTCTCGTTATACTTCCTGAACTGATGCCACGACGAGTTCTGGATGTTCTCGAAATTGACCCGGATATGCTCGTCGCGGTCCGGGCGCATGTGCTCGTGGATCCAACCGATGGCGTGTCCGATCTCGTGAACGACGACGCCTGGGATCATGCAGGCGGACCCCAGGATGATGGGCTGGGGTGTCGCCTGCATGCCGAGCCTGGAGTAGCAGGCCATGCCGTCCTTGAACTGTATCCGGCGTGGGCTGGTGGCGCTCTTGATAAAGCGCAAGCACGTGTACTTCTCCCACTCGCCGATCGCTTCTCCGATGATCCTGACGTCTGCCTGTCGAATCGTGTCAGTGATCTCGTAGAAGACCACGCAGTTCTCCCAAAGAGCTGTCTTATCCCTCAGGGCTTTCCTCTTTGTCCGCTTCCCCGTCGTATACATCTGTTTGTATTGGTTCAAGGTCAGGAGAAGGTCAAGCTCGGTCATCACCATGACCTCGCCCTCGGGCATCACGTGAAAAAAGTTAAACATGTCCGCTCTGGGTGCAGCGTCTAAGATGTATTTATCCAGTGACTTCCCTTGAACTTGGTGCTATTTTAAGCGAGGAAAGGAAATAGTAACCCGATATAGCTTAGAGATTTTTAACGAAAGTTATGCACTGCACAAACATGGAATTTTTAAAAAAAGTTCATGATTTTGATGACTCTAAACGGTTTTATTGTTCTAAACTTTAAGAGAAATCTTAATGTTTGTTTACGGTGAAGTGTAACACAAGTGTATCCTCTTTGGCGAAGGGCCAGAATTATAGTAGAAAGCGTTTCCAAGCTCTGAGAATGTTATGTTATTTAAATAAGAATCAGACTTGTTATGATATTTTCGATAAATACAATTATCACATTCAGAGTGAAAGTCTGGCCATTAATCAGAAAGTAAAAGTCTGGCTACCCTATCAGAAAGTGAACGTCTGGCCAACTTATCAGAAAGTGAATATCTGGCCAACTTATCAGAAAGTGAACATCTGGCCAACTTATCAGAAAGTGAACGTCTGGCCAACTTATCAGAAAGTGAACGTCTGGCCAACTTATCAGAAAGTGAACATCTGGCCAACTTATCAGAAAGTGAACATCTGGCCAACTTATCAGAAAGTGAACATCTGGCCAACTTATCAGAAAGTGAACGTCTGGCCAACTTATCAGAAAGTGAACGTCTGGCCAACTTATCAGAAAGTGAACGTCTGGCCAACTTATCAGAAAGTGAACGTCTGGCCAACTTATCAGAAAGTGAACATCTGGCCAACTTATCAGAAAGTGAACGTCTGGCCAACTTATCAGAAAGTGAACGTCTGGCCAACTTATCAGAAAGTGAACATCTGGCCAACTTATCAGAAAGTGAACATCTGGCCAACTTATCAGAAAGTGAACGTCTGGCCAACTTATCAGAAAGTGAACATCTGGCCAACTTATCAGAAAGTGAACATCTGGCCAACTTGTCAAAAAGTGAACGTCTGGCCAACTTGTCAAAAAGGTTAATTTCTATGGTGAGATTTCTTGACATTTTAGGTTGGTCATATCAACCAGCAAATCAACTTTAAGGCGATGCATGTGTAATTTGTTTTTAAATTTTGATTTTAAAAAAAAACAACAACATTAAATTGATTAAATAAATTTAGATGAACTTAACAATTGAACATCTCAAATAATAAAACATGAACACAAAATAACTTGATAGTATACGTCTCACAATGCGCTTGAATTTTTATTTATTTTTTAAAAATAGGAAATGAATTTTTTTTTTTTTTTTTTAGCTACATGTTCAGTCATAATAACAATACCTACCTTTTGGTACAGAACACCCATCAGAGCCGAGCTCAGGATGATCACTTGAAACAATAATGAACACAAAATAACTTGATAGTATACGTCTCACAATGCGCTTGAATTTTTATTTATTTTTTAAAAATAGGAAATGAATTTTTTTTTTTTAGCTACATGTTCAGTCATCATAACAATACCTACCTTTTGGTACAGAACACACATCAGAGCCGAGCTCAGGATGATCACTTGAAACAATGCGCGTCGAATGGCCATTGTGGGTGTGCATCGAACAAGAATTATAATCTGAAAATACGGGTAACAACTAAAGGAAAAGTCTGAAGAGCGCTCTTATTTTTTACCATTTTATATCAGTCAAAAGACGATTATTCAATAAAAATACGAATAAATTGAACAACTTGAACATAATTTTTTGCTCGTTAATAAAAAAAAAATAAAAAAATCAAAGTTTCAGCTATAACTAGCAGCAGTGCTACGATACCACAGAGCCGTGTTGAACTACACACACAAAATAAATTCTGTGTGGCCGGGGTACCCCTAAGCAGACGCTACGATTGAATCCTGCTCTATAGCATCCTCTCTCGTGTAAGGAAAGCATTTAAATGTTTAAACAATTTTTTGTTAAAATCTCTAAACACAAACAAACCTCCCTCGCCTCCCCCAACCCCAAAGTTCGTGGAGATTAATTTCCTTCTAAAAAAAAATATAAAAGCAGGGGTTCTTAATATGTTCCTTGGACTCCTTGAGGGTCCGTGTAAGTGTATGAGGGGGGGGGGGTCACTGAGCTGAATTTCATTTGTAATTTTATCAGATGCATTTTTTAAAGTATTTATTCAAAGACCTGGGGTCTGTGGCATTTATCCTATTTGGCATAGGGTGGTACATGAAACAAACAATTTTAAGAACCCCTGCCCATGCTCTAAGTCGACCATCAATACTAAACACTTGAAGCGATGATAGCCACATGTTGACAATGGTGGACCTATCATTCCAAGGGCGTCGCACGAGCCAAACAATGCAACGGGGAAATAATTTTTTCCCGGAATTATTGAAGTGATTCAAGTGGGGGGGGGGGGGTCTTTACTGTATGGATGACGTCACAGAGCATGCGATTTGAAAACGTATGTTCTTGTTATTGCATTAAAATCGAGGAATAGATATCTGACCAGAAAATGTAAAAATAGATATCTGACCAGAAAATGTAAGAATAGATAATTGACCAGAAAATGTAAGAATATATATTTGACCAAATAATGTAAGAATAGATATCTGACCAGGAAATTTAAGAATAGATATTTGACCAAATAATGTAAGAATAGACATCTGACCAGAAAATGTAAGAATAGATATTTGACCAGAAAGTGTAAGAATAGATATCTGACCAGAAAATGTAAGAATAGATATTTGACCAAATAATGTAAGAATAGATATCTGACAAGAAAATGTAAGACTAGATATTTGACCAAATAATTTATGAATAGATATCTGACCAGAAAATGTAAGAATGGATATTTGACCAAGTAATGTAAGAATAGATATCTGACCAAAAAAAAAACTAGGAATATATATTTGTCAAAACTAATGTAAGAAAAGATATTTCGAAAAAAATATAATAATATATATTTTACCAGAACATGTAAAAATAGATTTTTGACCCAAAAATGTAAGAACAGATATTTGACCAAAAAATATAATACGTATTTTACCAGAAAATATAAGAATAGATATTTGAACAACAAAAATGTAAGAACAGATATTTGAACCAAAAAAAAAAAATGTAAGACTTTACAATAGAGCCCCCGCTTAAGCGCGGTCGTGACATGACTCCTGGAAGGAGTACATTTATTCACAAGTGCAAATTAGAGGCCGACCGAATTTCGGCTTCGGCTTCGGTTTCGGCGCCGAAAGTGGCCATTTTATCACTTTCGGCCAAGTTTCGGTTTCGGCCGAAACTGGAAAGTTAACTTTCGGCTTAATTTCGGTTTCGGCCGAAAGAGAAAAGTTAACTTTCGGTTTTTCTTCGGTTTCGGCCGAAATTGACTTAGACTTTCGGCCATC